AGGCTCTAGCCCCTTCCAGAGCTGAGATATCGAAACTCAAAAATTCGGCCCGAAAAAAAAACGACAGTGGTACCCCTTACGTTTTTTTTTTTGGGCGAAAAATTAAGTTTCTCCAATCTTCCCAAAACTCTGGATTCTGATAGAGGGCCATGAGACTTAGACCTGAGTGCAAAAATGGAGGCTCTAGCCCCTTCCAGAGCTGAGATATCGAAACTCAAAAATTCGGCCCGAAAAAAAAACGACAGTGGTACCCCTTACGTTTTTTTTTTTGGGCGAAAAATTAAGTTTCTCCAATCTTCCCAAAACTCTGGATTCTGATAGAGGGCCATGAGACTTAGACCTGAGTGCAAAAATGGAGGCTCTAGCCCCTTCCAGAGCTGAGATATCGAAACTCAAAAATTCGGCCCGAAAAAAAAACGACAGTGGTACCCCTTACGTTTTTTTTTTTGGGCGAAAAATTAAGTTTCTCCAATCTTCCCAAAACTCTGGATTCTGATAGAGGGCCATGAGACTTAGACCTGAGTGCAAAAATGGAGGCTCTAGCCCCTTCCAGAGCTGAGATATCGAAACTCAAAAATTCGGCCCGAAAAAAAAACGACAGTGGTACCCCTTACGTTTTTTTTTTTTGGGCGAAAAATTAAGTTTCTCCAATCTTCCCAAAACTCTGGATTCTGATAGAGGGCCATGAGACTTAGACCTGAGTGCAAAAATGGAGGCTCTAGCCCCTTCCAGAGCTGAGATATCGAAACTCAAAAATTCGGCCCGAAAAAAAAACGACAGTGGTACCCCTTACGTTTTTTTTTTTGGCGAAAAATTAAGTTTCTCCAATCTTCCCAAAACTCTGGATTCTGATAGAGGGCCATGAGACTTAGACCTGAGTGCAAAAATGGAGGCTCTAGCCCCTTCCAGAGCTGAGATATCGAAACTCAAAAATTCGGCCCGAAAAAAAAACGACAGTGGTACCCCTTACGTTTTTTTTTTTGGGCGAAAAATTAAGTTTCTCCAATCTTCCCAAAACTCTGGATTCTGATAGAGGGCCATGAGACTTAGACCTGAGTGCAAAAATGGAGGCTCTAGCCCCTTCCAGAGCTGAGATATCGAAACTCAAAAATTCGGCCCGAAAAAAAAACGACAGTGGTACCCCTTACGTTTTTTTTTTTGGGCGAAAAATTAAGTTTCTCCAATCTTCCCAAAACTCTGGATTCTGATAGAGGGCCATGAGACTTAGACCTGAGTGCAAAAATGGAGGCTCTAGCCCCTTCCAGAGCTGAGATATCGAAACTCAAAAATTCGGCCCGAAAAAAAAACGACAGTGGTACCCCTTACGTTTTTTTTTTTTGGGCGAAAAATTAAGTTTCTCCAATCTTCCCAAAACTCTGGATTCTGATAGAGGGCCATGAGACTTAGACCTGAGTGCAAAAATGGAGGCTCTAGCCCCTTCCAGAGCTGAGATATCGAAACTCAAAAATTCGGCCCGAAAAAAAAACGACAGTGGTACCCCTTACGTTTTTTTTTTTGGGCGAAAAATTAAGTTTCTCCAATCTTCCCAAAACTCTGGATTCTGATAGAGGGCCATGAGACTTAGACCTGAGTGCAAAAATGGAGGCTCTAGCCCCTTCCAGAGCTGAGATATCGAAACTCAAAAATTCGGCCCGAAAAAAAAAACGACAGTGGTACCCCTTACGTTTTTTTTTTTGGGCGAAAAATTAAGTTTCTCCAATCTTCCCAAAACTCTGGATTCTGATAGAGGGCCATGAGACTTAGACCTGAGTGCAAAAATGGAGGCTCTAGCCCCTTCCAGAGCTGAGATATCGAAACTCAAAAATTCGGCCCGAAAAAAAAACGACAGTGGTACCCCTTACGTTTTTTTTTTTGGGCGAAAAATTAAGTTTCTCCAATCTTCCCAAAACTCTGGATTCTGATAGAGGGCCATGAGACTTAGACCTGAGTGCAAAAATGGAGGCTCTAGCCCCTTCCAGAGCTGAGATATCGAAACTCAAAAATTCGGCCCGAAAAAAAAACGACAGTGGTACCCCTTACGTTTTTTTTTTTTGGGCGAAAAATTAAGTTTCTCCAATCTTCCCAAAACTCTGGATTCTGATAGAGGGCCATGAGACTTAGACCTGAGTGCAAAAATGGAGGCTCTAGCCCCTTCCAGAGCTGAGATATCGAAACTCAAAAATTCGGCCCGAAAAAAAAACGACAGTGGTACCCCTTACGTTTTTTTTTTTGGGCGAAAAATTAAGTTTCTCCAATCTTCCCAAAACTCTGGATTCTGATAGAGGGCCATGAGACTTAGACCTGAGTGCAAAAATGGAGGCTCTAGCCCCTTCCAGAGCTGAGATATCGAAACTCAAAAATTCGGCCCGAAAAAAAAACGACAGTGGTACCCCTTACGTTTTTTTTTTTTGGGCGAAAAATTAAGTTTCTCCAATCTTCCCAAAACTCTGGATTCTGATAGAGGGCCATGAGACTTAGACCTGAGTGCAAAAATGGAGGCTCTAGCCCCTTCCAGAGCTGAGATATCGAAACTCAAAAATTCGGCCCGAAAAAAAAACGACAGTGGTACCCCTTACGTTTTTTTTTTTGGGCGAAAAATTAAGTTTCTCCAATCTTCCCAAAACTCTGGATTCTGATAGAGGGCCATGAGACTTAGACCTGAGTGCAAAAATGGAGGCTCTAGCCCCTTCCAGAGCTGAGATATCGAAACTCAAAAATTCGGCCCGAAAAAAAAAACGACAGTGGTACCCCTTACGTTTTTTTTTTTGGGCGAAAAATTAAGTTTCTCCAATCTTCCCAAAACTCTGGATTCTGATAGAGGGCCATGAGACTTAGACCTGAGTGCAAAAATGGAGGCTCTAGCCCCTTCCAGAGCTGAGATATCGAAACTCAAAAATTCGGCCCGAAAAAAAAACGACAGTGGTACCCCTTACGGTTTTTTTTTTTTGGGTGAAAAATTACGTTTTTGAGAAGATTAGAGAAACTTAATTTCTCGCCCGAAAAAGGGGTACCACTGTAGTTTTTTTTTCGGGTCGAATTTTTGAGTTTCGATATCTCAGCTCTGGAAGGGTCTAGAGCCTCCATTTTTGCACTCAGGTCTAAGTCTCATTGCCCTCTATCAGAATCCAGAGTTTTGAGAAGATTGGAGAAACTTAATTTCTCACCCGCAAAAAAAAATGAAAGGGGTACCACTGTCGTTTTTTTTTTTCGGGTCGAAATTTTGAGTTTCGATATCTCAGCTCTGGAAGGGTCTAGACTCTAGAGCCTCCATTTTTGCACTCAGGTCTAAGTCTGGTGGCCTTCTATCAGAATCCAGAGTTTTGAGAAGATTGGGGAGACGTATTTTTTCGCACCGGAAAAAAAAACGACAGGGGACGACAGGGGTACCCCTGTCGTTGTTTTTTTTTTTTTTTTTTTTTTTTTGTCGAAATTTTGAGTGTCGAAATTTTTAGTGTGGCATAAATGCTATGTGGCATCACAATGGCTCAGCTCTGGAAGGGTCTAGAGACTCCTTTATTTTTATAATGGCATAAATGCTGTGTGGGATCTCAATATCTCAGCTCTGGAAGGGTCTAGAGCCTCCATTTTTGCACTCAGGTCTAAGTCTCATAGCCCTCTATCAGAATCCATTGTTTCAAGAAGATCAAGAAAATCAAAATTTCGACTTAAAAAAAACCGACAGGGGTACCCCTGTCGACTTTTTCGGTGCAAAAAAATTGCAATGTTAAACAACTGGATAACTTGGAAAAATGCAACATTATTAATTATTCATGCCCCAATGCTTAATGGGAGCACCAGTATTAGACAGTTGAGAAAGTTTTACTTAATTCTATAACTTTCACATATTTACTTGAAGAATAGTTCCAAGTAAAATATCCTTACAAGTACAAGTTTTAATTTTTACAAGCTTGAACTGAGCACTACTATAGAACTGACCTTTTCTTATTGCCTCAACTAACTTATTCAGTGTAGAAATTACATTTGTTTTTGTTTTGTTTGTTTGTTTGTTTTTTGTATTTACTTTTCCACAAAATATATTTTTTATTTAGTGTGCATATTTATTTAGTACTGATACATTAAAAACTAATATCATATGATAACCAATATGGTACCAACATATCATGATATGTTCAGTTGAATGTTTTTCAGTCAAGTACTATCAAAAGTTCCATCAGCGTGGAGAGCAATTGGATTAATAACATCTTCCTTTATAACAGCTTCTGCATGTATCATCTGTCCATGTGGAATATGGTTCCAGATCCATTCAAATGAAATGAGCAGATCAAAGTCATCATTCCCCTTAATCACATTCAGCTGCATGTCATCCATGATCATAAAATGTCAACTTTCTGACTCACGGAGAGGAAGTACGTCTACTGGAGTGGGCTTTAGTCAAATGAGCAAATGAACTAAGCCAAGGTAAAATATGACATGAGCTGACATTATTAGACATCCTGCATAACCTCTAATGTTAAAGGCCACAGCAAGTGCGTTACCTATGGCTCTTTGTGACTCCATATGTGTGGTTTGATTGCAGTGTCCTCTGGAGAAGGTTGTTTCATCTCTAAGAGAAGTGCTTGAGCAAATGAGACTGATTGGGAACATCTGAAGTTCATGTGCGAGAGAGAGACGTTATGCAAGAGCTGTATATGTGCTCAGATAGTGCTAGCACAGATGCACAGCTCGGAGTTCACTGAAGGACATGAACGCATATAAAAGGAAGCTCTTGATGTGATGACATAATTCTCAGCCTTTTTCAAAGACTGTATCACATATCGAGCACTACATTCCCACAGAGATGTTCAACGTATAGACATAATCCAGGGCAGAAATCACGATCCACTGAAAGGTTAATCCAGTACTAATCAGTTGCACTTTGATTTTGCTCTGTGAGGAAAACAGATGATGTAATTCTTTAAATTACAGAATGAAAAATGACCTTCATGTGAATTTGCAGTTACATAACTTACATTATGTTTTATCTGTAGATCTGAATGATGATTTCCTCGACCTTATTTCTTTTCACCCTCATGATTATACATCTCTCCCAGTCCCAGGTTGCTGTGTGTGAGCAGAGCAGATGCAGGAGGGAATCCCAGACTGCTTGTGCTGCTGTAGTGGGAGCGATGGGATTACATAAGAGGAGCAGACAGGCCTCTCCGCTCTCTGCCGGTCATGCACTATTCATGAGGCTCTCTGCATCAAAACTGCATTCCTATTCCTGACACTTCCATGCACTGCCAGGAAAACAGCCTCTACAGCAGCATTGACCGTGAAGAATTTACACACCTTGTCTCGTGCTCCCCACTTTTCCCCTCATTCTTCAGCTGCTTTAACCCACACTCTTAAAACATATAAAGGGTTTTTTTTTTTACTGCTATCTGCATTCACAACATTAAACATCAATGGAAGCTCAATGCACATAATGGAAAAATGTTCAGCAGATTATTAAATATTTCTTTACACTGATTAAAAAAAAAATATTTTATGAACTATGCATGATAGGTTCTTTGGAGACCCAACATAGCTCTTTAATGGCATTGATGTAAATAGAAAATAAAAACTTTTTTGAATTTGACATGTGTCCATCAAGTTTATCAGTTAGCTAATTAGTTAGCTAATAAATATTGTTTTAGTGATTAGCCAATGAGGTCATGAGGGGGATCTGTGAATTTGCCAGTGAGTGAGTTTCCTGATGTAACATTCATTGTAAGCAGATCAATAACTCTAGTGTCTCTACTGTCAGTGTATGAATGAGTGAGCGAATGGGTGAACGTGAAGCTATATGTAAAGCACTTTGGTGCTATTGGGTCTGTGAAAGGGCTATAAAAATGCAGTCCATTTACCATTTAGTGATGAGTCCAGTGATCCCTCTGGCTTTACTGTCAGCTTTTCAAGGTGGTTCTCTGATAAACTCATTATCATGTTCTGTAGCATCTAAGTGGTCATGGATTGATATCTTCAATGTTGTCCAGTGGGAAAGGTTTACTAATGAATTTTAAGCTTTTACTAATGGACTCCTTGATAGATTCACCCATATAGACAGACAAAACTTCACAGATAATCAAGGAACCCTCTTTTACTTTCTTTTCTCTGTTCCTTTCTGCTCTTCTCTTTTTATGGTGTTTTCTGGTTTGTATAAGTACTGCAAGATATTATGGATTTGAAATTCTTTTGTTTAAAGTTTTGTTTTTTTCTTCTTTTAAATATTAACCTAGTTCATTTCACGGAAAAGGAAATGAATTCAGCTGAAGTGTTTCTTTGGTAATTTTACCTCAATATAGCTGGAAGCGTCTCGTCGCTTGATAAACTTATAATTGAGCCGCTGTAGGCACATGGAATATTTAAACCTTTTCTTTAATGACTTTATGGGCCGTCAAGAGCCAGTCCCTTATATGTAGGACTGATCCAGCTCTCAGATTCAATCAAAAATATCTTTATTTGTGTTCCGAAGATGAACGAAGGTCTTACGGGGTTGGTACAGCATGGGGGTGAGTAATTAATGACTTAATTTTCCTTTTGGGGTGAACTAACGTTTGAGATTGTGTTTTTTTCGCCAAGGTTAAACTTATTCGAGGTGAATTTTGCAATTCTCTCTCTCTTCTTCTCTCTCTCTCCTCTCCTCTCTCTCTCACCCCCCCCCTTCTCTCTCTCTCTCTCACACTCCCATTCTTTCACTTTTAAACTCCTCTCCGTGTTTTGTCCGTTTATCTGTTTGTATATCCCAAGTAACCATAGTAATTGCCACTTTGGAAAGACTACATGTAATAGTAGTTATTTAATTGATAAGTTTGATCACTTTATTTGGTTAGCTAAAATGCTAAATTATAAGGTCAGCCAATTCAATGAATGTATTTGTTCATTCATTAGTGAACTCAGTCTATCACCTCAAGGATCAGCTCACTCATGACACTCATGAGTTTTTTGTTCAATCTTATAATTTGCAGTCAATAATACTATCATTACTTTAAACGCATTTCACAATGTCTTACAAGATGTTGTGGGATTGCAGAAATCAATCTAAATCACTGTGATTCACATTGTTGTGACATTTACAAATGGCATTTACTAGGAGAAAACTTTGCTATGAGGAGATTTTATCTCGGTGGATGACATGAGATCAACACAGCCTGGAGAGACAGCAGGTAATAAAAAACTAAAATGATGCTTTTGATCAATACAGATTCTTAGTAACTACTGACCTTCATAAAGGGAGTCTGGGATAGTTTTGAACACAGTTCAAAGTAAATAAATAAGTTCAATTCCACAGTACTTTGTTAGTAGGTGGAGCATGCAGGATTTAGACAGTGTGAAGGGTTCATGTGCCTTTAAAGACATTAACTGTAAGAAAGATCTTCAAGTATCTAAACTATCACTATGACAAATCATTCTCATAGACTTCAAATACGTTTCTGAGGTAATTGTTTAATTTCTCTACAGAGGGTATGCAATGTGGGTGAAACTTGATTTGGATCTTTTTAGTCATAAGTTGAGAAAAAGGGTGTTAAGTGATGCAGGTTAAATGATGGAAGCATTGTAAGAGCTAAAATGAGAGATAGAAATGCACTTCAGCTTCTCCTGAAGCAGACATACCATAGATATATACACTAGATTCCTTGGCTATGGCAGTTCATTGGAACCAATGCATCAATAGAGCCACCATCATGGAACATGGGAGCCCCTCCACTTTAATGCATAAACTTCAATGTAGGCAAAGGTCTAACGGAAATTAAATCACCATAAATCATCATGAATGTTATTTTCTAGTTTATTTGGTTCGTTCCAATGGTCCGACATTTAATCCAGAGAATATTTACTATATTTAAAAGAAACTAAAAAATTCTTCCTAGTTCAGATTTCGTTCGTGTGAGCATCCATGCGCAGCACAAAAGTCTGAAAATCCACGAATTCAAAGGACAGGTGGAGATGACAGTGTTACCTAGCTACTCCCTACGACAAGAAGACCCCTGTTCCAAGATGGCGGCGGTTTTGGTGCATGCTTAGAACCCCAAGGCGACATCTAGTGTAAATATGCACTGTAAAAAATACTTTCAAGATTTGTTATCACAACAAATTTTCTTTTGTCAAATCAACTTTTTTAATCATTTATTTAGTTGAGATAACTTATTATTTTGAGTTTCTGATGGTTAAATTAATCTATTTCATTGTATTAACTCACTTTTTCCAGTTCAATCAACTTAAAATTTTAAGGCAACCCAGGTTACTTACTTTTTTAAGTTAAACCAACAATATTTTTTTACAGTGTGGTAATCACAACATTTTTTCTTTTGTCAAATCAACTTAAATAATTTATTTAGTTCAGATAACATATAATTTTGAGTTTTTGATGGTTAAATTATTCTCCTTCATTGTATTAACTCACTTTTTCCAGTTCAATCAACTTAAAATTTCAAGGCAATCCAGGTTACTTACTTTTTTAAGTTAAACGAACAATATTTTTTTACAGTGTGGTAATCACAACATTTTTTCTTTTGTCAAATCAACTTAAATAATTTATTTAGTTGAGATAACATATAATTTTGAGTTTCTTATGGTTAAATGAATCTCCTTCATTGTATTAACTCACTTTTTTCAGTTCAATCAACTTAAAATTTTAAGGCAACCAGGTTACTTACTTTTTTAAGTTAAACCATCAATATTTTTTTGCAGTGTGCAGACGGACAATCATGTGCTTCCAATAGGATGTGGTGGTGCAAGAAGATTTTTAATGAGAAACTGTACAATACGTGAAAAAGAAATGGCTGTAAGAGTAGCACTGGTAGTGTAACCTATTCATTATTGTAACTTTAGACTAAAAACCACTAAAAACTACTAAACATGTGTAATTTTCAAACTGGTTTCCCAAACACTACTGGTCAGTCAAAACAGATAGCCCCACCCTAAACTCACGCCACTGGTTTAGCCTTTCTTTTTCAGGTTTCAGTAATGAATCCACTGTATATAAAGCCTCTCTTGCTTTGGGTTTCTGTGCATAAGGAAATACTGTACACACTAAGCTGTTTCAGAGAGCTGCTTATTGATATCTTTCCAAGCACAAATCAATTCATCTCATTAACTATGCCTGTGTTAGTAACCTCTACAGCTGAACACAAACTGAGCGTGCAGGAGAACGAGAGAGGGAGGATGAGGGTCATGCAGGGGGTGAGGCTCTAGTTGCCATGAGAGAAACAGCACATTGAATCTTACCAAGCCAGATGGACATTCCAAGATTTCCAGGAAATGGATCTGACAACAACTCTAATGTACACGCAGCTTCCCATGTGGAGTTCCAATATGAATTACATCTGCCAATTAAATAACAGAGAGAGTATTAGCATTAACCTGTATTCACTTACTTTTGATATTGAAAAAGCCACGTGTGGTGTGAAAAAGTAATGTTCCTAAATCAGCATCTTTGTTGATCCTGGAACAACATTCCAATCATCATATAGTTTACAGTTTATGTCAACTTTAGGCTTATAACCAGGGTTAGGTGCTTCTATGTTATAAATTTCCCCCTGATTTTAGGGATCATTTACAGGTAGGGTAGGTTTAGGAGTGGTTACAATTTCTGACAGAAATGTCCCAGGATCAATAAAATACGTTGACCCTGGAATATGTCTAACTCTGCAAAATCATGGTGTGCATATGGCATACAAAACAGTATGTTCACAAAAGCAAAGATTCAATGGTTAAATATTCTAATTGTACTACATGCAAAGAACAATCTAAGCAAGAAGAAAATGTAGGTGGGCAGCAAAAGGGCCCTCAAAGCATTGAAGAACAGCCTCATTTGTTTTTGTGACCTGGTGATTTTCTTGGAAAAGTACATTCAAACATCACTGCTTTACCCAATTAAAAAGCCTCAGGAGACTTGAGTCGACTCACGACACTGTTAATTAACAACAAAAGATAAAGTCGTCAGGGCTCTGTAGGAATCTGGAGCCCTAATATGGGTCTCTGTAAAGCAAGACCAGCTCAGAAACACATGCTGTATGATTTTGTAAGATGTGTCGGCATTAGTATTCTAAACAGGAGGGGTTCACCATCTGTTAGAGACAGATCTAACCTCTGTACATCCTTCAGGGCTGCAGTGCACCATGTAATTATCCAAGTTTGAGTTGTTCAAAAATATAAAGGCAGCTATATTATATGTTGCCATGCACAAAAAAAAAAAAAAAAACACTTATACTGTGTGTGATAGAAAGTGTAATATCATAAAGAAAATAGATGGCCATTGTAATAAAAAACATATTGAAAAGAAATCAGTTTTTAACATTAACATTATGTATGTTTTTTTCACCTTTAAAATTTTACTTGGAATAAAACAATCACAATTCATCTCATGGTTTCTGACCAATTTTAAGAATGCAGAATAAATGCTTTATTGAAGCCTTTGTGGAACTTACAATCATATGAATTAGTCAGACCTTCATACTTTACAAAATAAAAAAAAAATCAATCAGCTATGGTGAGTTTAAGATGCTTTCTTTCAGTGATTCCCAAGTAATAGGACATGCACCCCAGAAGTTCAAGTGGTATATGTTAAAGGGTTATTTCACCCTAAAATTCTGTCATTAATTACTCATTAATTCCATTCTCATGTTACATTCATGTTTATCTTCAGAACCAACCCGATCTCACGACCAAGTCGTACGAATTCGACGAATGATTAATAAGAGGCTAATACGTAACAATTCATACGACCTCACTCGTACGTATTAATACGATTTTGCTAAATCGTACATATTTTACGAATTGGCCAATTCGTATGAATTCGTACGAATGACCTACCCCTTACCCCGCCCCTAAACCTAACCATCACGTGGGTTTAGACAAATCGTACAAATTAGTACGAGTGAGGTCGTACGGATTAGTACGAATTAGACACTTTTTAATCATGCGTCAAATTTGTACGAATTGGTCGTGAGATAGTGTTGTCAGAACACAAAGATATTTTTGATGAAATCTATGAACTTTCTGTCCCTCCATTGACAGCCAATAGACTGCTAAAAAACAACAAACAAATTTAATAAAACAAAATTATTTTCAAAATATTAATCTCATTCAACGCACGTTGTGTAAATAAAGTGTGAACAAAATTGTGCAGCCGAAGCACTCTTGTTGCTTTATAAAATTGAGTTGAAACCACTCACACAGGTTACTTTAATGATGTCTTTACTACCTTTCGGCGCTTGAAAGTGGTAGTTGTGTTGACTAGCTCTTAGATTCCATCCAAAAGATCTTCATTTGTGTTCCAAACTTTAAACAAAGTCTCACAGGTTCGGAATGACATGAGGGTGAGTAATTAATAACAGAATTTTTTCATTTTGGGTGAACTAACCCTTTAAAAGATTTTGCTATATAAAGATATTTGACTAAGCAATTTATAGCTGTAAATATATTTCTCTCAGTTTTAATGTGCTTTATTAGCATAACGGATAATTTTTTCCACAGCATCAGCAGCTTAGCTGCATTCAAATGAAATAAAGCAAAAACAAAAACAGTACAAAAATGCATACGGATTATTAAAAGACAAAGGATAATTGAAAAAGAAAGATAAAGCCAAAAGATAAAGCCACTCATATTCTAGTCAGAATGCGAGTCTGTTACTGCTCCAAAGTGCATTTATTATGAGGCATATCTTAACCGAACCAGGAAAAACAACAACTCTGCACTCAATTGGATAGACCTTCAACCAATCAGAGCAACGCAGTAAGTCAGCTACATAGTTATCAAAACTCAACTGCACGCCTGCTGGAAGAAGTAGGCCTAGTAAAATAATGCGTGTGCTTCTTTTACTTGGTCCTCCATGAGTGCGACCAAAGGAGAAACCACCACAACGACCACAGGGTTTTCATTGAGTCCCATCTTCTTAGTGACCATCGGCAGTAGCACCTCGTTGCAGTACACAAGATCCAGGGGGTGAAGTTGGATGCAGATCTAAGGGGTGGAGATGGGTAGGATTAAGGGTGTGGTTAGGGATCAGGCGGCGGAGATGGGTATGGTTAGGGATCAGGGGGTGGAGATGTGTAGGATTGGAGTGGGGTTAGGGATCAGGGGGTGGAGATGTGTAGGATTAGGGTATAGGGTTAGCGATCAGGGGGTGGAGATGTGTAGGATTGGGGTGGGGTTAGGGATCAGGGGGTTGAGATGGCTAGGGTTAGGGGTGGGGTTAGGGATCGGGGGTGGAGATGTGTAGGATTGGGGTGGGGTTAGGGATCAGGGGGTGGAGATGGGTAGGATTAGGGTGGGGTGAGGGATCAGGGGGCAGAGATGGGTATGGTTAGCGATCAGGGGGTGGAGATGTGTAGGATGGGGTGGGGTTAGGGATCAGGGGTTGAGATGGCTAGGGTTAGGGTGGGGTTAGGGATCCGGGGTGGAGATGTGTAGGATTGGGTGGGGTTAGGGATCAGGGGGTGGAGATGGGTAGGATTAGGATGGGGTAAGGGATCAGGGGGCAGAGATGGGTATGGTTAGGGATCAGGGGGTGGTAATGGGTAGGATTGGGGTGGGGTTAGGGATCAGGGGGGGGGGGGATGGGTAGGTTTAGGTAAATGTTAGGTGGATTACGTGTTCTGCAGTAAGGAGCCGGCTGATAAAATAAACTTCAATAAAATCCTGTAGGAAGGACGGCAAACACAGCTTTCCTATAGACAAATGCCTTGATTGCTGTTCTCTGGTCGTCTTTTAAAATGTATGCGCTGTCGATTTCTTTTTACAACAGACACAAAAGTGGAATCTATACATCTCAATTGTCCAGTTGCAGTCATCTTTGAGAGAAACCAACCAGTTCAACCCAAGCGCTAACGTGCTGATTACGTAACTGGAGATCATCTGTTTATCATCGAACCGATCATAATTACTCTTCAATGGATCGAATCCAGGCGGAACTTCCTGACCAAAAAATGTTGTGGGCGGGGTTCGGGCTGGCATCCAGGCTAACTGCATTCCGTACTGCACAGAAATGAGGGTATTTAATCAAATGTGCTGTGACAGTCAACTTCAAATCGAATGCCTGGCTCACCTGAATTCCCTCTGTATTTCAAAGTAGATCTGTCACTGTCAGCATGCTTTGTGTAGTGCACAGAAACAATGTTTGTGTATTTGTATTCATGTGGTGTCTCTGTTTTCCTCTCACACCTGTGCTCTGACTATAAGGCAGTGGTAAATGCAGACCTCACCTCAGGACAGGGCATGTAAGGTGACGGCCACACTCCTTTACATGATGATGTGTTGTACGAGCTCAGCAGTAAGAACTCTCTTTCAGTGTTTCCTCACTCCCTCAGGAAGCACTGGCTCTCTTTATCAGCATAAGCTGCTACAACAGCTCCTCTGCCATAGCTGTGGAGACACAGGAGGATTTGTGTAAAGGTGGATAAGCACAATGTTCCCCTTGTTTGAACATCATTAGAGCATCTCGTATGTGTGAGGGATTTCAGGATGACGACGTAAAGGAGCTGCTACCCCCTCTGCTATTACTGAATGAGCTCTTATGAAAGATGCACTGAAGGGAGCCCATATGAGTTTTAAAGCATGAAACATTCATTAAAAAAATGTTATTCTTGGCTTTATTTTTTGTAAAGTTTAACAAAGTTTTGCTAGGCTTTTGTCATAGATTCTGCACAAGCAATATTCTCTTGTTTTAGAGGGAGCATTATTTACATAAATGCATTAACACTTTTATAACAAGCTATTTGTGTTTTAGTAGCAGTGTTCTTACGCAACAGCTTTCACACATAACACTAGCGAAGTTGCTTTTGCAGTCAATCTGCTTTTTTCATCGCACTGTCATTTACATTTATTCATGTAGCTGACACTTATCCCAAGCGACTTACAATTGCTATATATGTCAGAGGTCGCACACCTCTGGATCAACTACTAGGGGTTAAGTGTCTTGCTCAGGGACACATTGGTGTCTCACAGTGGATTCGAACCCGGGTTTCTCGCACCAAAGACGTGTCTTATCCACTGCCATCACCACCCCATTTATTGTTGCTCTGTAAAAACGTCACTGCAAAAAGTCATTTTGAAAGGAATCCACATGCTTCCCCACACACAGTATTCACCGTATTGACCAACAGAAAGCTGCTTGGTTTGAAAGGGACTTCTGTGTGAGCTGTGTTTCATACATCTCTATGCTAAAGTAATTGATAATATGTAACGGATCTTTTTAGTCTTTATCTCTGAATCTTTTTTTTTTTTAAATCAGACCAAACTTTAGTTAGTTCCTGACATCATACGTCCTTAAGTTTCACTCTGCATAATCCTCACTTTTTTGCTTGTTGCTGGACTTGCATTTTTTGACAGTAATGGCTGTTTGTTTGCTCCATGTTGTTTTGCATTAATGCCCCTGTGTGCGCATGGCTCAGCGGTGAGATTATTTATTTATTGGGTCTTGACATCACGTTGCCTCTGTGCTGGAGGTGTAGGAGAACACACAGACTCCCTGGAGGAGGGCAGTGAACTCCTCACAGCACGAGAGAGAAAGAGAGAGAGAGAGAGAGCCTGTTTCCCTAAGGGTCACAAACACATGCACATACACACAGCACTCTGTATCCCCCCGCCTCTCGTCCTCAGTCATTGCTTTCTGACTGGAGATGGGCCTCCACTTAGTGTTAGTCAACACCACTAGTTTTCCCCTGTGCCTAATTCCTTAATCGCCCCCCTGCCGAGGCTCTTAGGACCCCCGGAGAGGGCCGAGTGTGCAGTTAACTGCACAAAGGAGGGCACATGTGTGTGTTACAGGGGGTCTTTGTTGCATTGTGGCATGCTCCTGGCCTCATAGTGATTACCCACACCAGGGGTCCCACATTGTACCGCCGCACCCGAGAATCTCACCTTTACAATCCCCCCCATCGAGAGCCAGCAGGGGGCTCGCCGCTGTTTCACCAATCACTGTTCTTTTACAGTGAGAGCAGCCACTTATCTAAAGCACTTAAACACTAATGCATACCCTAAACACTCACTTACATACACAACGGCTACATTCCTAAAGGAGACCTACAACACCATTCATTACTCTAAAAGCCGAGTACTCGCAAGCACTTAAACACCCATGTGCTTTCATTCTCATAATCTAATCTCGTGCACGCTCCATATATACGCTTATCATTCAAAAGTTTGGGGCCATGAGGTTTTTAATGTCTGTTCTTTCTCCAAGTTGCATTTATTTTATCAAATCACAAAAACGCACAGAAAAGCTGAATTGTCAGCAATGCATCATTACTCCAGTCTTCAGTGTCACATGATCCTTCAGATTTCATTCTAATATCAGATTTGTTGCTCAAGAAACATTTCTTATTATTATCATTTACCAACAGGTGTGCTGTTTAATATTTTTGTGGAATCATGATACATTTTACAGGATTCTTTGATAGCTAGAAAGAGTTTGTAACATTATATCAAAGTCTTTACTGTCACTTGGGAAAAAAGGTTTTAATTTATCGCTGATCCCAAACCTTTCAAAATTAGTGTATGTGGGATGTGGGCATACATTTGGAAACAAAACTTATTCTCATTTTTGCTTTATCTTTAAATTTATCAAAGAACTTTTTAAATAAAAAAAAAAAAAAAATCAATACTGCAACTCTTAAAAGAAAAGGTTCTATATAGAACCTTAAAAGGTCTATGTACAGTGCTAGGTATTTGGAACCCCTAAAAAGGTTCTATACAGAACCTTTTTAAGGGTTCTGAAAAACATTATATATGGAACCTTTTTGGTTCATTCATTATCATTTGTTTTGTCCTTTCCAGATTAAATATTTCATATTATTGACAAACATCAAGAACCTAAAATGTATTTGTGAATGCATGTGAATGATCACACAATTCAAGAATATGGGGGTTAGAAAATCTATATATTTATATAATTTTATGTAGTTAATCAATCTCACATGAAGAGTGCCATTTCAGTTTTTCTACTGCAAAAATCAGCATGATTAAAATGTGATATTAAGTTTCTACAACAGTTTAATAACAATAATTTAATTACAACTACAAAATGTTGCAGAATAATGCAATATATGAATGAATAATAGCCTATAAAGAACCGTTGTGCCAAAAGGGTTCTTTTCTTGTCATTATAGAACCTTTTTAGCATAAAGAACCCTATGCTTCATATATAGGACCCCAATGAACCCTTTTTTCTAAGAGTGTGTAAGTAAAAACCATAGTCACTAATACTTATACAAATTAGACAAGGTAAATACTTATTTTATTTGTTTCTGATTTTATGTAACTAACC